GATGGACTTATTGTCCGTAGACATGCAGACCAGTTAAAAATAACTTGTGCAGATAATAAGTGTGAATCTGTCAATCCCACCAAGACTGATCAGTTCACACCAACTCAGTTTGTTCCACAACCAAGTTCTGTTGATATGAGTGAACCAAGTTGTCTGGAGTCAGAAAATGTAAATTCTGGAGTTAATGATTTAAATCCTAGACCTTCTGAGATAGAGAATCCAGATGGTCAGAATCTTGAGTCACCAAATCAAAAGCCACTGAGAAGGTCAAGCAGGACAATCAAAGTCCCAAATAAGTTAGACCTATGATTCTAAAGGTCAAAAGGACTTTGACATTATTGTTTTGTATTTTGATTATGTTGTAGCATATTGTGCATTGTTTGTAAGGATGTAATCTACCATAGTGTTCATGTTACAATATAATTGGTGATTTTAGGATACTATCAATTGTTCTATTGAGAGATGTGTTATTGTGTTCTAAGGGTAAAGGGATGTAATAGATTGAAATAATTGTGAGGTCAAGGGAACTCACTCTTCTGTATTAGTTATATTTATAATATTGTTATCTTGAGTGATGTCCCTTGTGTACTTCCTTCGGTCCTCTCTGTGTGTTACCATCGTGGTAGTTAGACCCAATAAATGTGTTATATACAACTACAGGCTTCTGTCGTCAATCTATTATAATAACTCTAGCATTAAAGAACATAGAAAATGAGAGAGCAAGTAGGTCACTGTGATATCTGTTCAAGAACATTTTCATCTTTTGAAAGATTACAAAAACATTGGAACAAAACGCACACAGAAGTGCAAGCCATAAACTTGTTTTTGTGATTTTATAGTTGCAGAGGAGCCATTGTTTGCTAAACATAAAAAGGAATTTCATCCAAACGATCGAATGGCGTGTGAGTTTTGTGCTTTTACCACCAGGAAATGGAGTAAGCTGAAAAAACATCACACGATAGTTCATATGGCTTTGTATAAAGAAAACATTGCTACTGGTTTAAAAAAGGACAATTTCAGAGAGGAAACCATGACATCTTCATGTACCCATCAGATCACAAACTTCACCAAATTGTAGAAACTTTAATGTCCAATGCTCAATATTGAAGGAGAAAATTTTTTTATCATCAACTAATGAAATGACAGCTGAACTTTACCACAATAAATTCAAATCATGTGACAAATTACAGTTACATCATGAAAATTAAACAGCTGCACCTCAAAAGTTACAGACTTTAACTGGGCAAAAATGTGAATGTGCTCTGGAGAATTGTACAACTTGTCAACTATACCATAAAGATAAACAGAGAGGCAGTGATCCTCCAACTGAGATTTCTGTGTGTGACATTTGCCAAAAAAGTTTTAAATCCTTATCTCATTTGGCTTCTCATAAAATTGTACACACTCCATTGAAATGTTATATATGTTGCAGGGGCGGAACTACAGTGCCGCCAGACCCCGCAATGCGGGGGGGGCCACGCCATTTAGGGGCCCACGGCCGACCATAAAAAAATTGTTATAGTTAAAAAAAAAATGTTCTTGCATTTTTGGCTTAATGTTCGTTTTGTAAAAAAGATTACCGTAGCTGCGGTTGGATTATCTTTATTCTATAGACACCACCCCACGCTAATTTTTCCTTCGTTTTTAAACCACTGTGAAAGCCGAGTCATCTTTCTCCTACAATGAAACTTATCAAAGATAAGCAAACGTTCAAACCACTTCCATGACTTATTTCCCTTTTTTAAATAGTCAAATAGTGATGCTCATAAGCCTCTTTTTAATAGATTTGTACTAAACAAATTAAAAAGCAATTACTTCTCTTTATTATTATTTGTTTATAAATTACTTACTAAAGAATGACACTGTATAAAAAGAAAATGTATTTAAAATTAATAAAATAAATACAAAAAACCTTAAAAATAAACATGGCACGAGACACCATTATTTACAGAAAGCTTTCCTGTTTTATATTCTTTTGACTGATGGGAGGTTACATGTCTTACGGCAAAGATAATACAAAACTGATTTTCACAAAACAGACTAATGCACTTACACTAATGAATGTAATTTGTTTTAATTAAGAAAATACCCACGTATTTCTCATAACACGAACAGGCCAACATGAATAAGTACCCTGTGTTCGTATGTTGTGTTTGAGTATATATATATATATAAATATATATATACATATATATACATACATAGGTCTATATATTTATAATGGGGGGGGCCTAAAAAATTTTTTTGCGGGGTGGCCCCTTTTTTCTAGTTCCGCCACTGATATGTTGCCACTGTGATAAAAGTTTTAACATTGGAGAAGAATATGATCTACACTTAGCAACACATTTTAGGTATAAGCCATTTAAGTGTGAAATTTGTGAAAAATGTTATGCAGATAAACAATACCTAAAAGCTCACATTAGATTGCATAATGGAGAATCAATTCACAAATGTGAGAAATGCAATTACACGTCACCTTATCTGTGTCGGCTAAAACAACATCAAAAGATTCATCTAAACCTTCAATCAGTTGATGGTGTTGAAAATGTACAAACTTGTGATATTTGCCAAAAAAGCTTTGTTTCTATAGCTCACCTTTTGTCCCATCAACTGATGCATACACCTTTGCAGCTTTACATATGTAGTCATTGTGACAGAGGCTTTAACTTACCAGATGAATATGACCTTCACCTTGTAAAGAGACATTTCAGGTACAGACCTTTCAGATGTTCATTGTGTGAGAAATCTTTTAGCACGAAAAGTAAATTAAAAGTTCACACAAGCATACACACTAGGGATTTACTGTATAAGTGTTTCAAATTGTGAATACACAACAAATGATAGAGGTTCTTCATTAGAACATAGGAGAGTTCACATGAACAGTAAGCCTTTCACATGCAATTCTTGTGACTATTCGGCTGCTTCTAGAGGTACTCTACAAAAACATTTGAGGACTCACTCTGGTGAGAAGCCATTTTGTTGCAACCTTTGTGACAAACGATTCAGTCAACATGTAACTTTAATCTCACATAAACGGCATATTCATCTAGTTTAATCATACTACTGAAGACACACTACGAACAGTGTTATGATGTGTAGTTAATCAAGGTATGTTGGTGTGAAATATATAATGATGACATAATGAGGAAAGATAGTGATGTTTTGTGTAGAAACTGGTTGCTGTGTATTGTGTGAGTTAACCTTAGTCTTGGTGAAAGGGTGTATATGACCAGTGTGACTCAGTCAGTAGAGTGAATCGTGAGACGTCCATGTGGATGACGATTATAAGCAGAATGTGTTTAATAAATATCAGAAGAAAAACCTTTTTTCATCTTGTCAATAAATTGTCACCTGTGTCGTCTAGACGTGTAAGGGTATAATGACTGCCTATGTTGTCTGATATTCTCACATGGTAATGAACCAAGTAGTTCAACCCTCTCACAATCGAAAAATATATTATAAAACTGTTGTGACTGAAGAAATGTAAATTTATGCTGCAATTAAAAATTTTTTTTTTTATTGACATTGGTGTAAAAACACTGGTGTTTTTTTTTTGCATGCCTCCAATTCTGTTTATACCCAATCACAGTTAGATGAGGGGGGGGGGGGGTAGTAAAATGTTTAATCTGCTCAAGTTACAGCTATTTCCAACAGTGGGCTTGTGTCACTTTCAATACCATCATACTGTAAAGTTTTTTTTTAACTTTTAAAAGTTTTTTATATCTGCTTGTCATATATCAAAAAGTGTATTGTGTTGTTTATTGGAAGTCTGTGTTACCTTCTTTCTATTTGAAGCTTATCTGAAGTTTTGGTAGCTGTATTTTCTTATATAACTAGTAATTTGATTTATGTTGACACATTTACTAGTAATAGTTAATCCGTTTAGGCTTTTATGTTCTTGTCTTTAACATATTATAAAGCTTTTCTATTGCTTATGATACACATTGAAATTTATTGGACACATAAGAAAATAAACTTGTTAATTAACAGTTCTTCTGAAATATCTGCAGCTATGTAACACCTCGCCAATCTCTGTTGAGGCTACATCATAGGAGTAATTTAAACCCATAACGAGACAAATGGTGTTGAAAAATTACACACTTGATTCTTTATGTCATCTTATCAACTTTAAATGTAATTATCAAACCAATACAGCATTTTGATAGTAGTGACAGTTTAATTTTGGATGATGACTGTTACACTTGCTTTTCTTTTAAACTCTTAATATTATTTAAGTTATTTATTTAAGTTCCTGTAAATTATCAAACTTTATTTAAATTACCACAAGTTCTATCAATTTTAAAAAGCATTAGTATTTTGCACAATTAAGGTCTTAATGTTTTGTACTGGGCTTTGTGCATCAGTAGGAGTGATGTCACAATTAGCAGTCTTTAACACTATCTGAACCAAATTATCCTCTTTATTTCTAAAGAGCTAATTATAACACAAATATTTTTTTTAATTTTCTGTTATTTTTTAAAATTTACATTAATTTGGTTTTAAATTGTCAATTAAATAGTTAAATTCTGTCTAATCTGAAATATATGCCTATTTCTGTTTTTTTAAATTTACCTGTTGGATTCTTTAAATTTGTTAATTATGTTTATAAATTTTGACATAAATTTTTTCTCAGCTGTGAAACATTGTTGTTGAGATTCATTTCTAATTGCGTTTGTGTTGAGGTTGTATTTTTCATATTGTATGTGGCCAGCTATTAACTCTTTTGTTAAATAAACTAATAGTATTTACATAATTAAGTCTCGAACTTGAATGCAGGTTAAATTAATGTATGTGGCATGTGGTTAAATAAACTAACAGTATTTACTAAAATAAGTCTCGAGTTTGAATGCGGGTTAAAGTCAGTAGAACGTTCCAGAGTTCACCCAGCTCTAATGTGTACCTGACTCACATTATGGAAAGCAAAGACGGCTGGGCATAGTGCTGACCACACTATCCCTTTAGGTGCTGAAGTCTCTGAAAAATTAACTCTACATCATTGTAGAACCAATTTATCCTACACAATGAGCAGCACGAAGCCATTGGTCTACCTATACAACATCCACATTGATAACAATAAAGTTAACACACCCCGCTAAGGCCCCAAATAGAGGTAGACACAAAGCAAGTGACTCAACATGACATTGTAAGAAACATCACACACATTAATTTTACAGCAACCTAAAACTCGAGACAAACTAAAATACACTTATTACTGTCTAAGACAACCACAACAAAATTACTTGTGACTGAGCCCAACTTAGTCATCGTGGGGAACTCACAATAACAATACTTTAAAATAAAAAAGTAAAATACACAAACACACTCAAACCAGTTTGGGAAACCATCCTAAACAGAGCGACCTAAACCACGTGGTCTAAAACACGCCAAGGGTTTTAGAAAATACCAAAATACAATTAAAATCTTTCAAAAAAGAAAACACCACAAGTATACCAGACAAGCCGATGCCCACTATCTCTTTTCAGACGAAAAAGAAAGAAAACGAGAATTATCGGCAGTCGCTTTCATACCAATCACACATATACAAATACAATAAAAAACACAAATACCTTCACGCACGAGGTGAGCCCACACAGAAACTGACCTGATCTACATCTCGCCTAGGGTCAAAAGAAAGAAATTATCCAAGCGGTAAGTTTTTACTGACCGCTTCGTGCAGAACGGGAAACCCTGTAGCCGCTGTCAAGTGGACCATTCATGCAGATTCTCACACAATAAAATAATACAAAATAAGACATCCATTTACCCGCTCACACTAACATTAGTAACAAACAAATGTTATCCGACACTGAACTTACCTAACTTGCAGGTACAGGCTTTGGAGCATCACAAGAGAGGAAAATACACCCCAGCATTCAAAACACATTGGCCTCATTGGAATTTACATACATAAACTGTTGTTAGAAAAACAATAATAATAAAATTTGCCACACACTTTAGCCATTTTATTTCTTAAAATTTTCACGTTACAATTTGTAATAATTCACTACTTTAGAATTTAGATTACAAGTCTATTTTTTTAATAGTAAGGAATAAAAAATTAAATAACTAGCCAAAAATAACATTACGTTGAAACTAAGATACCAAAATGTAACAATTGCAGCTCTAGTCTTTCTTTTCTTCAAATTTATAATTTTTATGCTGTTTTTGTAAAAAAAATTAATGTTAATTTATGACATTGAAATGTGTGGTTAATCTTTAAATTGTATAGCCTTATGTGAAGAAAATTATTTTATTATCTTTTCAATCACATAGTATGCAGAGAGGAGTCTGAGATTTGGCATAAAGTTCATATTGACTTGAGGTGTAAAGAAAGATAAAATCTATATATAACATGTTACAAATGCATTTAATTTAATAAAATAAAACATTTAGCAAAAGTAAGGAAGTGACCATAAGCCTTAGCAATGATGAAACAACATGAAAAAAAAAATTGCTGCTTGGCCAGGTGCCATTGTGACTGCTGGTCTGATGTCATTGTACTTGTCTAATGGAGGTCGTATTAACTGTCAACATGATATTCTGTCATGTTGCTGTATGTCTGACTGAGCTGTTTGTGAGTAGTGTAAATGTGTAAAGTTAAGAATGAGAATTGTGTTTCAGTACTTATATTGTAAACATCTAGTAAATGTAAATAATACATCGAAGTTGAACAGCGTGTTTTATTTTAGTTAGCTTCTGTGATTGTTAATGTGCAATTGGTTTGATCAGAATTGGTAAACTTCCTTGTCCCAATGAATGTGCATTGTCAATTTTATATAATCTGAAACAGGCAAATTAACTGTGTGGCCTGAACAAAACAATGCGGGTATAAAAATAAAACCCTGGGTCCCTGAAGTGAAAGCTTACTTCTCCTATCATACATATTTACAAATAACACAAAAAGAAAGCTACATAATGAAAAAATTGTACACATGCAGCTGACAATAAGATGCTATTTCCTTTTACAGTCAGAATACAATTTCTTTTTAGAGTATGTATAATAATTGACGAGGTATACTCTTTGACAAAAGAACCTTTTTATAATATAAATATTTATTAACTATGGCCCACTATTAGAAGTTATGTGCAGAGAAAAATTATAAGAAATTTATTAATAATAATTTGCTAGATATTAATTTTATGTCAAAAATGATTTTAAATTGGTTTTAAGTCATGATGAATTTCTATATAAAGTAAATTTAAAAGAAAATGTTTCCTTACCAACATCACATTCCTCTGTCTTACATATAGAATGAATTTTTTTAGAGTATTTAAATTTGAGAAAATCGTTTGTGTAAAACATCATTTAGACTACAACTTCTAGAAAACCTTTAATGACATATACCACTTTCATATAGCTTGTCTCATAAATGAATTTTTTCATGTGCACTTAATTGAGAATGTTGAAAAAACCATTTATGGCCAAAAAAAGTTTTTTATATGTAGTTAAACTATTCTGAGTAAATCATTTAGGATTAACATCAAATTCATTTGGATTTTTTCCCAAATGAACAAAATTGTCTTAATAAATCACACTTACAAGCAAATTTTATAGGACAAACATCACATTCATCATGTGGCCTTTCATCTGAATGAATCTTTTTTTGTGTTCTTAAATTAGAATATTGAGAAAACATTATATTAAACATCACATTCATGTGGTTAATCTCCTGAATGAACCTTTTTATGTGTTCTTAAATGAGAACTATTTGAAAATCTTTTCAGACAAACATCGCATTCATATGGCTTAGCTCCAGAATGAACAATTTTATGTCGAAAGAGATCCTTCATATCCACAAATTTTTTATGACAAACATCACATTCATGTGACCTTTATAATGAATGAACTTTTTAATGCTGTAATAGATTATTCTTATTTGCAAAGATTTTATGTCAAACATCACAATTATACACCTTTTCTCCTGAATGAATCTTTTTATGTTTACCTAAGTTAGAACTTTGAGAAAACCTTTTATGACAAACATCACATTCATATGGCCTTACTCCTGAATGAATCTGTTTATGTTGATTTAAGTTAGAACTTCGAGTAAACCTTTTATGACAAACATCACATTCATAATCATATGGCTTATATCCAGAATGAACATTTTTATGCATTTTTAAACCATAATTTCTAGAAAACCTTTTATGACAAACATCACATTCATGTGGCTTATCTCCAGAATGAACATTTTTATGTATTTTTAAAACAGAATTTCTAGAAAACCTTTTATGACAAACATCACATTCATGTGGTTTATCTCCTGAATGAACTTTTTTGTGTTCTCTTAAATCATAACTATAATAAAATCTTTTCAGACAAACATCACATTCATATGGTTTATCTCCAGAATGAACATTTTTATGTTGTAATAGCACATTCTTATTTGCAAAGTTTTTATGACAAACATCACATTCATGTAACCTATTTCCTGAATGAATCTTTTTATGTTTACCTAAGATAGATCTTCTAGAAAACCTTTTATGACAAACATCACATTCATGGGGTTTATCTCCTGAATGAATCTTTTTATGTGCTCTTAACTGAGAAGCAGAAAATCTTTTATGACAAACATCACATTCATGTGGCCTTTCTCCTGAATGAACCATTTTATGTTCTCTTAAATGAGAACCTTGAGAAAACCTTTTATGACAAACATCACATTCATGGGGATTATCTCCTGAATGAACCAATTTATGTTCTCTTAAAGTAGAACTTCTAGAAAACCTTTTATGGCAAACATCACATTCATGTGGTTTATCTCCTGAATGAATAATTCTATGTTGCAATAGATATTTCTCCTCCACAAAGGTTTTATGACAAACAACACATTCATGTGGCCTTTCTCCTGAATGAATCTTTTTATGTTTACCTAAGTTAGATCTTCTAGTAAACCTTTTATGACAAATATCACATTCATACGGCTTAACTCCAGAATGAACATATTTGTGATAACTTAAACCAGAACTATGAGAAAACCTTTTATGACAAACATCATAGTCATATGGCTTATCTTCAGAATGAACATTGTTATGCACATTACTTTCAGAACTTTGAGAAAATGTTTGATTATAATAAACAATTTTATTTCCGTTGTCCCTAGACAAATGTAGATTATCTTTAAGTCCATTTTCTTGTTTATCCTCAAAAAATAAAAATTCTGTTGTGAAATCTTGTTTTAAATTTTCAGTAGGTGATAATTCTGGTTTTAAATTTTCAGATGTTGAAAATACTGCTGCTGCAGCTGGTTTCTTATTAATTTTTTCAATTGAAAATGTATTATCAGGTTTAACATCTTGATAAGTTTTAAATGACATGTTAGGTTTTATATCCTGAAAATTAAAAAATGATAATTCTGGTTTTATTTTTATGTCATTAGAAGAAGAAAATTCTGAATTAATATCAGGTTTAACATCTTGAGAAGTTTTAAATGACATGTTAGGTTTTATATCCTGGAAATTAATCAATGTCAATAATTCTGTTTTGATGCCAGCAGAAGAAGAAAAGTCTGGTGTAACATCAGGTTTAACATCTTGAGTGGTTTTAAATGTCATGTCAGGTTTTATATTCTGAGAATTATAAAATGACAATACTTCTGTTTTGATGCCAGCAGAAGATGAAAATATGGCCGATAGATCTGGTTTCAAATCTTCAGAAGATGAAAATTCTGTTAATTCATTTGACTGTATATCTACAGTAGATGAAACTGCAGCTAACACATCTGTTTCCACCTCCATGCTGGACAGCTTCTTAGATATGAACTGATGATTAAAAAATGTAAATGATAAACTGGTGATTAAATAACCAAAACAACATATTACTAATAACATGGCAAAATTTGTAACACATGCCTGACTTTTGTCAGTCTGATTACTAATGATTACTCAGTCAGATGTAATTTAAAAATAGACAACTAGTAATGCAAAGTAATCAGGACTGCAGATTAATATCTGAAGCTACCAGTTTCTTAAAAATTATTGTTAAAAATAGAAATACTAAGATATTAATAAAAAAAATCAAAACTTGATTTGCTTTTGTTAGTTTTAAATGTAAGTAATAAGTGCTTAATCTTATCCAAATATGTAATAAAAGTGTTAAAATTAATTTTAATTACAGTTCTAAACTGTCATAAACAGCTTAATAAACACTTGATTTCTTTAGACAGCTTGGCACTAATTTGCACTTTTTGTAGTTTAGTGACAATATTTGTACACAATAGGACTTGTAAGTACTTGTTCTCTCTCACTTAAATTCAAGTCCTGTTAGCTGGGGAGAGATAAAAAAATTTGAACTAAATCAATTGTTGTGAACAGGATTTATATTGATAACAAAAAAAACATGGCAGTTTCAAGATTTAAAAATCATCAACAGCTTCCTTAATGCAACAATTGTAAAAACTTTCAATTTCAATGCTATTTAATTCGTATGGCTGGGAACTAATATATGTGCATGCATAAAAGTTTTGTGTATATGGATTTATTAATTTGTTTACAGGTAGTGCAAGGAAGGCTAGGGGATGATACTGTTACTCTACTAAACTGGCTTAGCTATTTTAAACTACGGAATGAACATAGCACCAATGGTGTCCTCTTCCAGTTTTAGAATATAAAGAAATGAACTTTTTCATTCAAATTTGACTTAGATCTAGATTTTATAAATTTAATTAGCAAGACCTACACTATGAAATGTATACAATTTTCTTGGTCAAACTAATGGAGAGGTTGCACACACATGACTAAAACCACATGATGTTTACATCCGCCGCCATGTTGATGCCCTAGCCTAGCACTGGACTTCTCTATGTATTTTATATTGCTAGTCCCTAAGTTTATTTTAAAAACTAGCCTCCCACAGAACAGTAACAATATTTGAAGGAACTTAAATTATTCAGGAACCTATTTTTTTTATTTTTGTCCAGCTGATAGACAATATGAATATAATAAATAACTGCCAAAATGTGAACATCTATCGGAATCTATCCAATCAAAAGTGAAAGCCACAACCCCAGAGAGTCAGCCTCAAGAATACCCAAGATTCTAGAAAGTTCAACCTCACAACAATTGTTGTGGTCTTGGATGCACACTATTAAGTATGAATAGGTCTATTAGTCATTCATGTCAACTATATTGAAAAAAAAATGAAAAATTACTATACAGGCATATATTAAAACAAAACAAAATAACCGTATTAAACAACAAAATCAACACAACAGACATGTGAATAGACAATTTTTCAAGGGAAACTACTCTATTATTGTTTTTGAAACATGGCAACTGCTTGTATTTACTCATTGTTGTCTCGAACGGGGTAGTTTACAAGTTTATTCCAGGATATTTTTGGCTGGTTTGGTCATAGATTGTGATTTGTTATATTATGTAAAATATGTCATAAATGATGATAAATATGGACAAATGAAAGAAATATTCATTAGTTACCGCCATCGCACATTACTAGCTAGTAGCTACTTTGGAAATTATGATGCTTAACTAAGGTTTTACCGAGAAGAGTTATGATGACTATTATTTAGCGATACTCACTAATTTTAAATTTCGTTATTTTTCGATTTAAACATTACCAATGAAAACTAGAGATCAATCTCTAATCAATCAAATACTTAATTTGTTGATAATAAACTCATTTGGAGCTTAATTACTGATTTTTATTAATTGGCCACTCCCAGCATTGCAAGCCAAAAAATCCGTGACAACCATTTTCCTATCTAAAGAGAAGAACTCTGCAGGGTGGACCTTGCAGCTGATTTGATTCTAACAGAATATGCACAGTACATTTGATTTTATTACCACATTTCTATTCATATGGACACTGTCTTCGTCAGAATAAAAATCACAAGATGGAATTACATCTAGATCTATATTTAAAAAAAAATATTTGATTTCCTTTTTTTTTAATGGAAGGATGTTAAAAAAGGAAAACTAAACCCAGATTAATGTATTTGACGACAAATATGCGTCAATTAAATATGTTTAAGAATATAGAATAGATCTAAACTTTTGAAAGATATTCTATCCCATGCATGTTTCATCAACTAGTGTAAGTGCTTTAGCAATGCTTAATCAGGGCAATTTATAAAATTCTAGCGATGTCATTGTAAAATGAATCTAACTCTCCTCTCTCACTGGACTTGGGACAGGTGTGTTATTCACAAAGTTTCGCCGATGCTCAGTTTAAAATATTGTTAAGATTTGTAAGTATTTGATTTATTTTTATTAAAATCTGCAATAGCATTAAAATTGATAAAGTTAGCGAGAAATGCATTCTAAACAGCATCACGGGCAGTGTGCGTGGCGGACATCTCGCTCGCGTAGTTTTGTCAACCAGAAAAGTTAGCCTATCAAATACAATTAATCAGGCCTATAAAATAAAAAGAGGCCAATCGCATTAAAATGATCGCACGTGAGCAAAGATATATGCAAATTACAAACATCGCCAGCCCGCCTGCGTTCTTTCGTCAACCAGCGAGAGAAAACCCACAGCACAGTGTGAGCATGCGCTAAATCTAGTCCAAGTACTTTGTTATCCCAAGTTATAATTAGTACTGTAGGTCTAGATTAATATAAAGTTCACATTAAATGTATTTAATTAAGATGTGTGTCTATTTGATTTTTCAAATGTCAGCGCATAAAAATTGATTACCCGAGAGCGAGAATTATGCCTATGCATTCCAAACATCGACACAGACCAAGTGTGACACACGACTCGCTCGCGCTGGTTTGTCAGCGAGAGAGGCATCGCCCGCCACAGCGCGGGCACAGCACACACATGTCCTAGTCCATGCGTACTTTGTTTACTAAGTACTAATTAGTAATGTAAACTTAGACCCAACGCTAAAATCATTTAATTTATCTATCAGGCCACTAAAATCGTAATAATATTAACATTATTAAGCCTAATAAATGTATCAACGAAGACCAGTGAAAATAATATTATAATAATTAGCCTAATTGAAATTTATGTAACCAATAAGAATTAAGACAAATTCATTAAGCTATAACAAATTTGAAAACAAATAATTAGGCCTAAGTAAGCACACAAAGACCAACGCTCACTACTAGATCTAGATCTAATTCCAGGGACCAAAAAAAAAAAAAAAAAAACAACAGATCGTTGTGGTTTAAGGGTTTTTAGAGTCATAGTATAATCCAAAAGCCAGGTGAAATATCCATAATTAGGCTTAATGAGTCTAATTACGCTAGCAAAATAAGCTGAAAAAGAGTGTCAAGTGAAAAGAAAACACAATTATATAAGCAGCGAGGGGATGTACAGCTTCCGTAACAATAGCGATGACGTCACAATAAAAAATTACATGCTTTCAGTGACCTTTTTAGGAAGCCGATTTCTTAAAATCGGCACATAATAATTGCATTTTTTTTTCACGAAACGATCAATCTAATAATACCCTACCTAACAGTTCCATTTAGACACCTTACAATCCTTTATTTAAAGTTTTTAAACAACTCAAACTATACCCATGTTTACGTTTGACCTCCATGGTCGGAAGCAATTAAAAAAAAAAATTCTGCCAAAAATAGCTTTGTCATCTTCAGATAGCTTAAAATACGCGAAAAAAACGCCATTTTTTCGCGTGATAATTATTTTTAAACTTAAACTAATAAACTGTTAAGGTGGTCTCTCGAACAAAGCAGAAAAAATTGCCCAATCGCAGGCCAAGGTGACGTAGCCATGTTCTGGTTAGCAACCAAGGACGCTTTCAAGTTACTGAGACTCGCTACTATTATTGATTAATATTATTATTATAAGATCTCATCCAACTTTCTCAGCCATCGGCATAATTTTACCCCACTAAGTCAGTACTACTACCACCAGAGGCGTATCCAGGTTTTCGGTGTAGGGGGAGCGGAAATAGCAAAAAAGGCGCCAAATTTGTAATATCTTCAATATAAGTATATATATATATATATATATATATATATATATATATATATATATATATATATATATATATATATATATATATATATATATATATATGTATATATATATATATGTATATATATATATATATATATATATATATATATATATATATATATATATATATATATATATATATATATATATATATATTAGCTGTATGATATTTCTTCGATATGATGTAAAATAAATTTAAATTAGCACTCTGAAGAAATAAATAAAAGCAATGTAGGCCGATGAAACAAAAAAAAAATGGTTTCATACTAAACAAATATATATATATATATATATATATATATATATATATATATATATATATATATATATATATATATATATATATATATATATATATATAATCACACTAGAACCAAAAACAATAAACGGCATAATCTGTTTTGTAATCCTTTTAAAAAAATGCATAATGATTCCTGGGACATCTATTAAGACTAGCGAAAAGGGGAAATAATCAATATCTTAATATAAATATGTATATGTCTACATATTTTATTATAAATATCAAAACAAATCAATAACTACTTAAGAATCTAATAAAGTAGTTTAACACTATTCGTTTTTACAAAAATATTTTATCTACAATCAGAATTAAATATATTGTCATCATAAATGCTAAACTTTTACAGCATAATGAAAGTTTTTAAAATCAGAGTTGGTATAAAACCCAGCTTTTAAAAATAGCAGTAAAAGATTCGGAATATTAGCCTACATATAACTAAAATATCTGTCTTACATTTCAGATCATGCGCTTTTTTATTAGTTACTGACTTTTAGTGTTGTTTAAAGATAAGTTTTTGACATAATGAGAAGGTATGGGTTAGATCACTGTATTGCTCACACACCTTTTACTGGTAGTTGCAAGAACAATATTCACAGAGATTTATGTTTCAAATGTGCCGACCAAAGATAATTTTTTAACAAATATCAATGTTTAAAACTTTGAGTTGCAAAAGTTTCCAAAAAGGCGCCACTTTGCTAAAAATGGCCAGAGGGGGAGCGGCCGCTCCCCCTGCTCCCCCCCTGCGTACGCTACTGACTACCACATTAACTACACTACTTATACTACACTGAGTCACACTCCATTGATAATCCGGTTTTTAAATACTTAAATGTAAGCTCGAAAAACGTTTTTTTTTACTCTGGGGAAGTGTTTTATTAAGCAAAGCCCATCCCACCTTTTCCGGAATCGGCGTTTAGATTATTATAAAATGGCGTCCTTGGAGATTTAATATGGTCGTCTGTACGGGCAATGGTTTGTTTCGACTGTTGATTTATTATATAATTCTATTTTTATATCGTAGTGAAGATGTTAGGCTTTAGTATTATGTACAAATAAAAAAGTCAATAATACACGCACCTGCTTTAGTTTATTTTGACTTCAAGCACAAGAATGACTTTCCCTCGTCGGCCTCGTGAAAGACAAAGAAAGAAATCAGGTAAAGCTAGCATTATTAAAATGTTAATTATTCGCCCCGTAAATACATGGGCAGTTTCGATACAAATCTATCCAACTACGATACGATCCTTATTTATAAGTATCATGTACTTCATGAGAAAGAAATGATTCGATATTTTATATCCGCCCAAAACACGGTGGCCTGCGAAACCGCGAGAACGAGAATTCACGAATCGAAAAGCCTAGTATATTAGTATAAAGTAGATCTAGATCTAATAAAGTACAAATGTTTGTAAAAAAAAAGTTTGATCTTTCAGCATAATCTGAAATGACCAGAAATGAGTCTCAATCTCTGCTTAACTACTTAACTAACTACTAGATCTAGATTCTAACTACTTTATTAGTATTAGTAGGCTACTACTAGATCTAGTACTTCGGGGGCCAGAGTTTCTTTTTAGGTATATCATTGGGGTGGCATTTTTTTAAAGCCACCTACAACAAACATTTTTTTCCGTGGACAAAAATATCTCCGAGGGCCGGATGAGAGGACCTCACGGGCCGCATCCGGCTCGCGGGCCGTAGTTTGGATACCCCTGATCTAGATACTCGTCATTAGATACTAGATAGGCCAGCTATTTAATATTTAAAAAAATATTTATTATATTTATTTACAAACTTACTAGACTACTACTAGATCTAGGCCTACTAAATAATACTACATGACACATGAAGTATTTTGTTAGAATATTTTATTAGGTAAAACCTTAGTTTAGCGTCGGTTATTATTCCGGAATGGTATAGCAGTAAAAAAAAACAGTAAAACAATGGCAAAATCTGTCACACAGTTCCGGAAGCACTGTAAACCATACTTTATTTGGCGTCATCTTTTACTTTTAATACAGATCGTTTAAAATTTGGATAGATTTATTTTAATTGCGTGTTAAATACTACTTTATTTTGAATAACTAGTTATTTTTAAGTGTTTCAGCTAAATATTTCTGCTACTAAACATTGTTTAACAGGATTTGTACGCAGTCTGCAGAGGCGTATCCAGGTTTTCAGTGTAGGGGGAGCGAAAAATAGCAAAAAAGGCGCCGAATTTGTAATATGTTCTATATACGTATATATATATATATATATATATATATATATATATATATATATATATATATATATATAATATAGGGCGTAGTCTGTTTTTGTCGTCCTCGTACAATTCACTTTATAATAGCATTATGTCTTCTAAAAATTGGAATGCATAAGACACGTAAATGAAGATATTTTTATTGCTTAATCAGTTGTACAAAACGGTATTCGTTTTAAATTAAAAAAGAAACAACAATAATTTAGTTAGGCCTATATTTGATAGCAATTTTGTTTTATCCTGTACTCTAGGACTTCTGTTAGAACTACAACATCCTTTTTCGTCGAGGTTTCATTTTAGCAAAATGATCAATTACGTCTTTTAAATCAACATCAGAAGCTAATTGTCGTTCAATTGTAATCAGGGCTAAGCTGGACAACCTGTCTTCGTTCATAGTAGAACGGATGTATGTTTTCAGGAGTTTAAGACGGCTGAAGGATCTTTCTACTCCGGCACTGCTTATTGGTAAAGTCAGAAATATACGATACAAAGTGGCCAGGTTTGGATACATGGAACACAAGTCATTAGCTATCATGAATTTCAGAATGCTGTTTACTGTCACCGCTATTTCTAGAGGTTCTTTTTCAGTTGAAACTCCCTTGTTTACACTGCTTACACTAAAAACCTCTTGGTAAAATGTTCTAAATCAGGGGTCTCCAAACTACGGCCCGCGGGCCGGATGCGGCCCGCGAGGTCCTCTCATCCGGCCCTCGGAGATCTTTTTGTCCGCGAAAAAAAAAAGTTTGTTGGAGGTGGCTGAGGTAAAATTAAAAATAAATTGAAAATGTAGCATTGGGTGCAAATAACATTGAAGCAAATGTGGCCAGTTGCTCAGCAAATGACCTCCTTAAAGACAAGTTCAATTTTATGGGCGGGTGGGTTTTATAAGTATTTTGCCCAAGGAAGACTTTTCAAATATTAAAACTTTTGCCCAACATACAAACTTTATCAAGAATGAAGTAGGCCTACGTGAAAAAAAATGTGAGAACAAACTTGGACCTCGAGTGTGTTGTCGGTCCCCGAAAGTGTTTCTTTCAGACTTTTTTCTCGGGTGGGGGGACACTTGAAATTTGCATATATATATATATATATATATATATATATATATATATATATATATATATATATATATATATATATATATATATATATATATATAAATTCTGGCCCCCGAACGTATATTTGATAGTTAATCCGGCCCTCGGGCTGAAAAGTTTGGAGACCCCTGTAAATGATACGAATTCCTGCACTATTTCAGTTACACTGTCAACAACATCCGAGTACGTCACTGCTAATTGCTCCAACTGTATTAAACTGTCATCTAATGCTAAATGTTTTGGGTCTAAGCAACAAAACTTGGAAGACACATCTTTAAAATTTTGAAACCTTGTGTTTGTACTAGTTATGACAGAGTCAAGTGACACTAAATAAGTTTGAACAATGAATTTTTTCCTAGAGTCAGATATCTGAGTATCCTCTGCTCGTTCGTCATGGAATATTTTCCGTTTGTATAGCCTGTGTTGCTTATACTCCGTACGGATATCACATTTCTCAGCGAGCTCAGTGGCTTCGTTCTCAATCTGCTCAAATTCTGATTCAAATTCATTTCTCCAGCTACTCATCTCATTTTAAAAAATCTGAATTAATCGAAAGGCTGTTAACATATCAATGCTACTCTTCTGTAAATAAATGGATACGTTAAAAGCCTTATGCAGAATTCTTTTCCAAAACATTAAAACAACTAAAAACTCAAAGGTCTCTATTGTAACAAGAATTCCCTTTCCTTCGGCAAACTGTTTAGAAGTAGAGTTTTTAACTTCACCGTCAACTATTCTTCGCAATGCAAGAACAAGTGCTGGTAAATTCTGCAATATAGAATCTACTGCTGTCTTTCTAGAAGCCCATCTTGTATCATTAAGTCGTTTCAGTGTTAATGAAAATGCTTCTATGTTGTTGCGTTGCTCCTCTTGCAATATAGAAAGACGAGGTAGATTTCCGGTAAAAAATGTATATATGCTTTCCAAAAAACAGCTGTGTTTGAATATTAGATGAAACAGCATCTATGAGAATTAAATTTAAATTATGAGCACAGCAGTGTGTGAAGAGTGCATGTGGAGCTATTTCTCTAACTCGTTTTTGTACGCCCGATATTTCACCAGACATGGTGTTTGCTCCATCGTAGGACTGACCATAGCACATGGTCATTGACAGCCCTAAGTCTGTGACTGCTGTAAGAAGCGTTTTAAAAAAAAACCTCTGCACTAGCTTCAGGAAGCTCACAAAGTTGGATAAATCTTTCGATGGCGTCTCCATGTTCAGTAACATATCTGATTGACAAAGAAAATTGATCCATTCTACTAATGTCGATAGTCGAATCTACAATCACAGCGAAATACCTAGCTATCTTAATTTCACCTACTATCTTCTTTAAAATTTGGGCTGATATAGACTTAATTAAGTCGTTTTGCATACCCGGACTTAAGTATGTTGCATTTCTGTCACCGAAAAGTAAATGTTGTTTTAGCAAATCATCTTTCTTAGAAATGAGTTTAATAAGTTCCAAAAAGTTGCCTTCATTTAATGTAGCTTCTCCTAAACCTTGGGATTCACGATGGCCCCTAAACGCCAATCCCTGTTTTCCCAAATAGAGAACTGCATCTATAATACTTTCCAGTATTATTCTGTTTTTTTCTCTTTCCTTCTTTTCTGATGTTAAAATGTCACATATTATGGTTCTGTCTTTGTAAAGTCGGAACTTTGTAATTAAAAGTTCTCTCTCTCTCTCTCTGCAATCTTGTGACTTTCAGAGTTTTCATGTTTGTTAATTTTGTCGGGACCTTTTGCAAAGTTCATACAACCCAGTTTTGGATCGCCCCAAGTGTCTGACTTGTGTTTAAAAGCCAACAAGCAAAACAAATCATATTATTTGCCTTGGGTGAATATACTAGCCAGTGTCGTATTATTTCACGACCACATTTCGTATGGTTTTTTTTCTTGTACCAACTGGCACTAAAGTGCCGACCAGTTAAATTTTTGGGAAAATCTTTATAAGTATCTTTGAGGCCTGGTTGACAAGGACCAAACTCAAGTAATGCACGTACCAGATCCGGTGTTAAGGTGTTTCACAAAACAAAAAAGGATCTGTAGGATATTCCAGATTTATATCGATTATAGCTTTAAGTTTGACTGGCATTGTACTGTCAATATCCTCTTCTAAACGGGTGTCTTCTAAAATGTCTATAGACATTACCTTATTGTCTTGAGTCTCGACGACTTGATTCTGCATATTAGATGATGTTGTTGCTTGTACATTTTGTACTTGGGTATCTTGAGACACATCAACCTCTGGTTGTATTGTTGTAGCAGTTAAAGGCATACAGCTTGAAAAATATGTATCCAGTTTGACACATTTGGATGACGATTGTTGGCGATCTGAAATTTCTTTCAATCTCTTCCTCTCCCACCCCGAATATTTATTCTTTTCTGATTTCCTTTCCATTTATAACCTTTTAACTAACGAATTCTAAGCGCAACTGTTGTCTTATTCGCAATATAGTTAGTATGATACACCAAATAATTTAAATGGTGCGATTACTTTTTGATAATTACTAACTATTGGAAACAAGTTCAAACGATACATCAGCTGAGCGGATAATTAACAGTGCTATCAGGGTTAGTTTAAGTTGAGTTGTTTTTTAAATACAAAATATAGCCTTATTCAAATTTAATATAGATCTAGATCTAGTAAACTAAAATAATAGTTAATTTAAATTTGATACTGTTTAATATAATTTGTAATCGTAATCAAACTGTAAGAATACTACTACTTCATCGTGATGACGTTGTTGAACTTTCCCCACCGCTACGCAGTTTGCCCATAAGTAAATTTAAATAGAGGTGTCACTGTAGTTGTATTTGTTTCTGTATTGTAATTTTTTATAAATCAATCACACGATTCAAACAGTATATATAAAGTAATTATGTGTGAAGTTTTATGTACAACATTTTCTAATTCAATTATTCGTAAACAAATACATTATACCGTGGATTTAAACTTAACTCCCCTCTTGTCAAGTGGTACCACCCGTAGATGTTTTTTAAACATTGCATTGCATCATAATGGTTATTTTTAGAATGGCAAACTGATGCAGCTGTTAATACGTGTTGTAAACGTAGACAGTACTAGACTAGTACAATAATGCTTAATTGCTGCATGAAAAGTAATCTTGTGATTTACATAGATGTGCCGACCAAAAATATTTTTTTAACAAATATCATTGTTTAAAACTTTGAGTTTAAAAAGTTTCCAAAAAGGCGCCACTTTGCTGAAAATGGCCAGAGGGGGAGCGGCCGCTCCCCGTGCTCCCCCCCCCCCCCCCTGCGTACGCCTCTGGCAGTCAGGAAAAAGTCTTGAATTTAGAAAAGTGAATTTCATCAGACTTAAATAGTCTTGACGGGTCTACACTGTGGAATAATGTTTTTCGCTGGGTATCTCAGAAGAAACCCGATTTCTCAGTTACTACGTCATTGGGGGAGGGGGGAGTGTAAGACCTGTCTTTTTGTTGTTGTTGTTGTTGCGTGACTGACCGTGAAAATGTTTAGGGCTAGACTAATCCGCTCCTCCTAGTAACTAAGGTCACTGATGATAATCACTTTCAGCTCTAAATGTTTGATCAAGTGAATACATCATATTAATTTAATAACTCTAGCATTATAGAACAAAAGAAAATGAGAGAGCAAGTAGGTCACTGTGACATCTGTTCAAGAACATTTTCATCTTTTAAAAGATTACGAAGACATTGGATTAAAAAGCACACAGAAGTGCAAGCTATAAGCTGTTGTTTTTGTGATTTTATAGTTAAAGAGGAGCCGTTGTTTGCTAAACATAAAAAAGAATTTCATCCAAACGATCGGATGGCGTGTGAGTTCTGTGCTTATACCACCAGGAAATGGAGTAAGCTGAAAAAACATCACACGATAGTTCATATGGCTTTGTATAAAGAAAACATTGCTACTGGTTTAAAAAATGACAATTTCAGAGAGGAAACGATGACATCTTCATGTAAATACCCATCAGATCACAGATCAACCTCTCCAAATTGTGGAAACGTTAATGTCCAATGCTCAATATTGAAGGAGAAAAAAAATTTATCATCAACTAATGAAATGACAGCTGAGCTTTACCACAATAAATTCAAAACATGTGACAAGTTACAGATACATCATGAAAATAAAACAGCTGCACCTCAAAAGTTACAAAATTTAACTGGGCAAAAATGTGAATGTGCTCTGGAGAATTGTACAACTTGTCAACTATACCATAATGATAAACAGAGAGGCAGTGATCCTCCAACTGAGATTTCTGTGTGTGACATTTGCCAAAAAAGTTTTAAATCCTTATCTCATTTGGCTTCTCATAAAATTGTACACACTCGAATGAAATGTTACATATGTTGCCACTGTGATAAAAGTTTTAACATTGGAGAAGAATATGATCTACACTTAGCAACACATTTTAGGTATAAGCCATTTAAGTGTGAAATTTGTGAAAAATGTTATGCAGATAAACAATACCTAAAAGCTCACATTAGATTGCATAATGGAGAATCAATTCACAAATGTGAGAAATGCAGTTACACTACGCCTCATCTGTCTCGGCTAAAACAACATCAAAAGATTCATCTAAACCTTCAACTAGTTGATGGTTTTGAAAATGTACAAACTTGTGATATTTGCCAAAAAAGATTTGTTTCTTTAGCTCACCTGTTGTCCCATCAACTGATACATACACCTTTGCAGCTTTACATATGTAGTCATTGTGACAGAGGCTTTAACTTACCAGATGAATATGACCTGCACCTTGTAAAGAGACATTTCAGGTACAGACCTTTCAGATGTTCATTGTGTGAGAAATCTTTTAGCAGGAAAAAAAATTTAACAATTCATTACGAATTACGATTACGAACATACACTCTAGGGATTTACTGTATAAGTGTCCCAATTGTGAATACACAACAAATGATAGAAGCCATTTCTTAAACCATAGGAGAGTTCACATGAACAGTAAGCCTGTGTGTATGTATCATGTAGTGAGATGCGAGGCTGGGTGTGTTGACGTGTATACTGTTGTACGGACTGAACGAGGGTAGAAGGGAAGCGACTGGTCGGGTGACAGTGGCTGTGTTGTGAGCGAGAGAAAGGTGGTGTGTAGGAATGAATGCGGGGGGGGGGGGGGGCAGTTGAAAGTTGGACTGTAAGCAAAAATGGTTGATGTGGGACTAAGTGGCGCGTTTAAAAAGAAATAAAGGATACTGTGATACCTAGCCTCAATCGTGTTGGTTGTGTATTCGTTGAGATCCTGACACCCTCACAATAATGACGTTGTGTGTAGAAACTGGTTGCTGTGTATTGTGTGTGTGAGTTAATCTTAGTCTTGGTGAAAGGGTTATATGACCAGTGTGACTCAGTCAGTAGCGTGAATTGTGAGACATCCATGTGGATGACGATTATAGGCAGAATGTGTATAATAAATATCAGAAGAAAAACATATTTTCATCTTGTCAATAAATTGTCACCTGTGTCGTCTAGGCATGTAATGGTATAATGACTGTTTATAATTCTGTTTATACCCAATCACAGTTAGATGAGGGGGGGGGGTTGTAAAATGTTTAATCTGCTCAAGTTACAGCTATTTCCAACAGTGGGCTTGTGTCTCTTTCAATGCCATCATACTGCAAAGTATTTTTTTAACTTTTAAAAGTTTTTTATATCTGCTTGTCATATATCAAGAAATGTATTGTGTTATTTATTGGAAGCCTGTGTTATCTTCTTTCTATTTGAAGCTTATCTGAAGTTTTGGTAACTGTATTGTCATATATAACTAGTAATTTGATTTATGTAAACACCTTTGATGTTAGAAATATTTCTGGAAATTTTTTAAATTAAACAATGTAATAAAGCAGAAATGGACTTCAAATAGCAACACTTTTATTTTTGTTATCTGTTGTAGCATAATCTCTAGTAGTTACAGTTTAGGCTTTTATGTTCTTTTCTTTATTATGTGATAAAGCTTTTCTATTCCTTATGATAACCATTGAAATTTATTAGACAAATAAGGAAATAAACTTGTTAATTAACAGTTCTTATGAAATATCTGCAGTTATGTAACACTTCATTGATATCTGTTCAGGTGACACACTAGAATTTATTCAAACCCATAACCAGATAAATGGTGTTGAAAATTTCACACTTGATTCTTTATGTCGTCTCATCAACCTGTGCAACTTTATATGTAGTTATTGTAACAGAGATTTTAATTTAGCTGATGATTATATTTAATACACTTAGCATAAACATGTTAATAGCAAAAAACTTTAAAATATACATAATGTAAAAAATGTTCTACTTGGAAAGATAAACTAAGACTTCACACAAGCACACACACACCAGGAATATACTTATAATACGTGATGAAAATGTGAATACACAATTTAAAAAATCTACATTCTATGTCCACCAGCAAATCCACAAGAACACATAGCCTCACACATGCAATGCTTATCACTAATTAACATCTTCTATAAGTTCTGTACAAAATAATTTAGGGACTCACGCTGGTTAAAAGCCATTTTATTGCTACCTATGTAATAAGCTATACAGCCAGTGACAATCCTTAACCTACCACATGCAACATGTTCATCTAGTCTATTGATTCAGTCACAGGAATCTGACATTCGACTGCCTGATTTATTTATGTTTTATTTATGTATCTTGGTAATTATCAAACCAATACAGCATTTTGATAGTAGTGACAGTTTGATTTTGAATGATGACTGTTACATTTACCTTTTTTTTAACTTTTAATATTATTTAACTTATTTTATTTTTAGTTCATGTAAATTATCAAACTTTATTTAAATTACCACAAATTCTATCAATTTTAAGAAGCATCAATATTTTGCATAATAAAGGTCTTAATGTTTTGTACTGGGCTTTGTCCATCAGTAGAGGTAATGTCACAATTAGCTGTGTTTTAACACTATCTTAACTAACCAAATTCTCCTCTTTATTTCTAAAGAGCTAATTATTACACACATTTTTTTTTATTTTCTGTTTTTTTTTTTAATTTACATTAATTTGGTTTAAAATTGTCAATTAAATAGTTAATTCTGTCTAATCTGAAATATAGGCCTATTTTTGTTTCTTTTAAGTTTTATTTACCTGTTGGATTCTTTAAAGTTGGTAATTGTGTTTATTAATTCTCAGCAGTATATCATTATTGTTGAAATTCATTTCTAATGCTGTTGGTGTTGGGTTGCATTTTTTGTTGTTGTATGTGTCATGTTGTTTGTAGGGGGGGGGGGGGGTTATTGTGGATCAGAGGAAATTGATGTTTTTTCCCCCCATTAAAATCATGTAATCCAAAGTCAAACACATAATTTGCAGTAAAAGGGCATGTGTACCCAGTGCGTGTACATGGTGCTTCACCCCAAAAATATATGTCTATATCTACATCTATATCTGTACCAGTATATATATATATATATATATATATATATATATATATATATATATATATATATATATATATATATATATATATATATATATATATAATTTACAAGGTCTACATTATAGGCCTATAATACAGTTGCAATTGGTGTCACTATACTTCAATTTTATGTGCCTGATACAAGCTATTATATTGTTATTTTTAGACATCTTAATATATCTTTCTCTACCTAAAGAGGATTTAAATTCAACAAGATATTTCAGTTTTTGTATATGTACTGTAAATCATAAAAAGTAAATTAATACTGGGATTTTTTTATCATCTTAATGGTCATGATTAGAGTTCTACTTCAATGCAGAAAAAGCTAACATAATATTAAGAACATTATCTTTTTCCCATTGGTTTCAGAATGCACTTGTTCAATAAAGCTATTATCAGTTTTTAATTTTAAGTCACTGCATTCCAACTTTTAAATTTCTTTTTCAAACTATTAAGCTTTTATTTAGTATCCTAATGTTTTTGCATTGTTTGTTCTAGGCAAACTTCATCAGAGAATTTATTGTGTTATTTCCAAAAAAATATTTTTAAAGCTCAAAGCCTTATCACACGCTGTACTAATTATAAAATTGTGCATAGAATTACAAAATGTTACATATGTTGTCATTGGTAAAAGTTTTAAAAGTGGAGAAGAATCTACATTAAAGACATATTTTATGCAAAAGCTTTTAAAAAAGAAAATGTGTGAGCTATTTTATGTAGATAAGATAAATGTTATCTAAATGATCATATTAAATGACAAATGGAGAATTAATTTATAAATGCAAGAAATGCAATTACATAACATGTCCTTGATCTGCCATGAAGCCACACTGTAAGATAAATCAGATCCTGAAACAGGAAAATTGTCAAGATGAGGTTGTTAAAAAATTATACATTTGTTTTATTTACATAAAAGTTTTTGATAGTCAGTACCCCTGTCATTACATCAGTTTGTCCATACACCTTTGCCACTTTATATAATATGTAGTTTAAAAAAACGTATATGAAAAAAAAATTTACCTATCACACTTCTATAAACTGCCATCGAGTCTAATGATTCACTTAAAGCCATCTGAGTTTAGCTATCAAGACTTAAACCCCATTTTTATTTATCTATGTTAGTATTTATCAAACTTGTGCAACACTTCTACAGTTAGATTTTAAAGTGTATACTGTACCTTAGTTCAAATATCTGTTTCTTTACTCACTTGTCATATCCAACACAACATTTTACTAAATTACTACATGTAGCTAAGGTGGATATTAGGTCTTTATGCACATTTACATATGCATTGTGTACTGTTAATTTAAACAGAAAAAAAACATGATGAAAACAAAAGTATTTCTGCTTTTCCTTACTAATTTTTTTCATATTGCTGATTCTGTAATTTTTCAACTAACTTGATGCACATTTTTAATGAGGATTTAAGCCTTCAGTTTTAAAAATTATATTAAAAATGTGTGTAGAAATTCAATTTAGTCTGCAGTGTTACGGATAGTATTAGAAGTATTTTTATTAAGAATTATTAATAAAACTTATTATACATTCATATATATTTACTATATTTTTATAAAATGTCACGTAAAATTGGAAAAGCATCAGTTTTCCACAATAACATTTTAATTTTTCTCTAGGCTTTGTTATTACTTGCAGCAAGCACGACTAAAATTAGAAACGTTTACACTACATTAAATTTATTTTTGTCATTGTATCTATAAAGTTATTTTTTAAAATTAATAATCATTTTTCATTATCAAAAATGTGTATTTTATTTTAAGTTGTCAACTAATAAGCGGTATTATGAATAATCGGATAGTTTTGTTTATCAATATTTTTCCCTGTTTGCTTTTTAGTTATTGTTAATTTCTTAAATAAATATTGACACTACTTTTGTCACAGCAATAAAATGTGATAATTTTTAGATTCCATTTGAGTTGTTGTGTGTTGCAATCAATTTCTATTTCACCATTATGCATGTGACATGCTTTTAGCTGTGTTGTTAAATGAACCAACAATTTTTACAACAATACTAAGATAAAATAACTTAATTTCATGTGGCAAGAACAAACTTACAAATGAGTTAACTCCATTGCTCAGTCAAGATAAAGCAGGCTGTTTTTAAATGCGGACCACACAGGGTGACACCATTTAGGGGAGTAACACCAAGAAAAAAAAGGGCAAAATGTATACAGAAAAATGAAAAATTTCACTTAAATAATAATTAGAGTGAGTTAAATAGTCTTTTAAGAGGAAAGTTGACCAATCCCGACAAGGGCGGAGAGGGGGTCGGGAGGGTGACACAATGACGTAAACCTGCTAATGATAGAGAAAACATGCTACATCCAGCTGAATTTATAACCGACTATAGATAAAAATCGCTAGTGTTATCTGAGAACAGATTGTGCACTTTGTGTGCAGTTGGGCTATAAAAGTTTATGGTAAAACCATTTTTTTTTGAGAAAACGACTCACTACTGCAAAACATCCT